TGGGCCTCTTATGTTTCATTTATTCCCAGAATTTTATGAGCCTACGTTCTCCTTCCAGGAGGAAATGTTTTAATGTAGACCCAGTTTTTACCCAATAGAAGTGTATTGTGCAAATGTAATTATCATAATGTTACTCTAGTCCCAGTCCATGTTAAACAGAAGTCGAGAAACGTTTGCTAAATAAATACCTACCTACCAAATGGGATCACACAGACAATGTGCGCAGCTGTCACTGTGGAGTAGAGCTTCATGTCACATGCCAATAAGGCTTCAGCTTTTCAAAAGAAATTTCAATAGATTATCTGGGAGTGTTCTCATAAGGTGCGTGCTCATTATTACAGCCACCACAATGGTATACCACTTAATGGTCACAATGATTTTGTAGAGTCTAAGAATTCTGTCTAGAGAGGTTGAATGAATTCTCAAGAACAGCTCCTTCCAGAATGAAGCCCAGTGCTAGCAAGGGCTCAGGTTGAGCACCGGAGAATGGGAGGATGTGAGTGAATTCTTCCTTGAGATAGCACATTTGCCAAGATGCCAAGCCAGTGGCTCTGAAACAGGTCAAGCACTATTTTCAGTTTCTGAAACATACTGTGTTTACTTGGATTCCAAAGATGGGAAGGTCTGGGAGTCACAACGCAGAAAGAAGTGGGCCAAGAAAATCTTGAAAAATGCCTCTGGCATTCATAGCCACTCCTGCAGAGTTCTGGGTGTGGGAGGAAAACAGTGACCTTCACTACAATGGATAAACGGGACATTCAGCAGCGAGGATAACAGGCGTGTTGTGGTTGTTCTGAAGGAAGTCTCCTATCTGCTCAGTTTCTGACGACTCAGAACCTGTATCTTCCTCCCTTTGTACTCAATCTTGCTACTTTAGAACAAACAAATCAACTTCTTCCTAAAGAAACCCTCTCATTTTAAGGCCAAATAGTCACAGGCCTTCTTTTTCTCTCTTCTCCCTCAAGGCATACGCTATCCAGAGAGGTCTTGTTGGTCAGTAAAGCGTAACAGTTCGGTAAAGGATCATTTCTCCCTTCTCTGCTTGGTACTATTGTCTTAGAAAGCAGAAATTCAAGACTGCATTTCCTATGTGGATGGGCTGTTGAAAATCACCAGAGAAAACTTTAGTGAAACAGAGCCCCTGAATCACTTTGAAGTAGCCATTTTTAGACAGTCACTCTCTCTAGGCTTGTTTTGTTTCTGCTCAGCCTGTAGGACCAGACTGTATATAATGCTGTCAACCACTAGTCCGGTTAGGCATCCAAGAAATACAGAAGTCACTTGATGGACTGAAAATCTCAGCTCTAATAAAGCTAGGTATAATACCCAAACCAGATTTCCTGAAAATCATCAAACGCATTCTCTAAATTCAAACAAATCTAAGTGAACTCACTAGTCATTGAAGAAACAAAGAGATTTCATTATTGAGCACCTAGCATTTTACTTCAGTGTTGGAATAGGGAGCAGATCATTCCAAGTTATCAAAAAGAGGGACTCAACAATGGAAAGACAGCAGAAAAACCGTTTTCATAACTGGCTAATAATGCAAACAGAATTAAACTAGATACACAAATGTAGGGTGCCACCAGACCACAGGGTAAGAGATCGTTGAAGTAAATACTCGAGGGAATCTCCCTGGAAGATATTAGATTTGTGTGGATAGTTTTTAAATGAACCGGCAGGAGTAAGAGGTTTACTAGGGCGAGTGGTTTCTGTTACTCTGCTGTCTTGGTCATTAGTGTGCTGTGCATGTCATTCCATCTCATTTCCTAGCATCTTGCCTGGCACAGAATGTCAATGAGATAGCACCGAGTTCTTTCCTCGATGAAATCCCCGTTTCCAGTCCAGCCTGGTCACTATTCTCTCATTCATTCATTTAATAGGGTTTTTGCTGTTTGGTTGTTTTAACACTTACATGTTTGGGGTTCTGTGGTAGGCACAAAATAACCAGGGAAAAGCTTCCCCTTTTCTGTCCTTGAAGGGTTTAGGCCAAAGACAAAGCTGGTAGAGCACAGAGTCTTGTATGCATGGAGCAGATCTGGGTTCTATTCCGAGCAGCACAAACATCACACTTGGTGGTACACATATGTATTTCTGGAATTTGGGAGGAAAAGTCTTGTCTTCCTTCTGAAACATCAACAGCCAGACCTCCATTGTTTGCTTCTCTTTCAGCATTACCTTCCAAGTGTGTTGGCATACTTTTAAAAAAACTCTTATTTATATTTCTTTCTCCCTACTCCACTCCGATCCCTTCTAACACCCAACACCAGGTAGGAGAGATAGAGGGTTAGTGGAAAAGTGGGGCGTAATTCTCTTAGCTGCTTCCTGCTGGTTAGGGTCATCAGGTTCCAGTCCAGTCCTTATCTCAGGAGATCTTCAACTTCTTGTCTCACTGCATCAACAGCAACAGGAGCCGAAGTGGGGAAGCAGCAGCCACCTTGTTCTTTCTCAGAACTCCCCAAACACTCTCTGGGCTCTGGCATTTATTTTCTCTCCAGAGTCCTCAGACTTAAACTATCTGCAGCTGGCAAAGAGCTTCCCTTAGAGCCCACATGAGGCTGTGTGTGAACTATCTGAATCTGTCCCACATCCCACACCTGGGATTAAGACAAAACCATGTTTCTATCCACAACACAAGTGTGCACAATAGCTCATTAAACTCTGAGCACCTAATGGCTTTTGCAGTTCAAAGCTCCAAAATTTTTTAGCTTCTTCACAGAAAACATCACAAAGCACAAAAGTCACATGATTGGGCCCGTCACAGTAACAGCTCATTCTCTGGTACCATTTTCTGTCCTAGTTTGCTTTTTGTTGCTACGATACAATACTGGCCAAATCTAGCTTGGGGAAGGAAGCCCTTATTTGACTTACAAGGCTATAGAGTGTCACCAAGGGAAGCCAGGATAGGAGCTCAGGGCAGGAACCTAGAGGTAGGAATGCAGCTCACTGGCTCGCTTTACCTAGCTTGTTCAACTGCCTCTCCCGTAGAGTTCAAGGCCACCTGCTGAGGGAGGCATTGCCCAGAGTGGACTAGGCCCTCCTCATCAATCACCAATCAAGAAAATGCCCCCACCGACGCTCCCATAGGCCAATCTGATTGAGGCAATTGCTCAATCGAGTTCCCTCTTCCCACGGGTGACAACCAAGAACAACCACGACGGTGGCATTATAAAGGGGACCCAAGAGGGTTAGATCCTTTCTTTTACTATCTCAGGAAAGAGTGAAAAGGTACATGAAGTAGAAAGTAGGTCCTCACTCGGTCTTGAATCACTCAGCCTGGGCACCTTTGTCTTCTAAGCTTCCAAAACTGTAAGAAGTAAATATCTGAACGCACGCCATGCACTTTCGTACATGAAAGCAAAGCACCCGCACCCATGAAGTAAGATAACTAAAATCTAAAGGGGGCTGGAGAGATGGCTAGTGGGTTAAGAGTATATATTGATGCTTTTGCGGAGGACCTAAGTTTAATTCCCAACATCCACATGGAGCTTACAGACATTTATAACTATAGCTCCGAAAGATCCAATGCCCCGTGGACATCTGCGCGCGCGCGCACACACACGTACACACGCACATACACAGTGCACTCACACAATTTAATTTTTTTTAAATGGGAAAAAGGCAATTTGCTACTGCCTATTATAAGTTGAATAGCGTATGGTATTTTGTTACAATAGCCTGGCAATATAATAAGACGATACATAGGCGACTACAGCTGGTTCATACAAATGGCATGAACCCGAGGAAAATTCAGTGGAAGCGTCAGTTGAGAACACCAGGTTCTCTAAGAGCCTGCGGCCTTCAGTTGCTGGTTCTGGACGCCCTCTAGTGGGGCATGCCTTTCATGCCCTAAATAGTGCTCATAGAACTGCCAAATTTGGGGTCCTGGAAACAAACAAAAGGACCACAGAATATGATGTTTTTCTTTCCAAGCTTTTTTTTTTTTTTTCCCTTATTTGAAACATTTTCCCATCTGTAGGTCAGGCTGGCCTAGACGTCACTAACCGGAGTAAGTTCTACCGGAAATTGTGATAACCCCTATGCAGGCTCCCAGATGTTGGGCTACAGGTGCAAACCATCACACCCGGGTTAGAACGGTTTCCTACAAGACTATGTCATTGTAGGTGTGATAAATTCGGATGTGCAGATGGTCGAAACGACACATTGAAAATGATCCGACTCAAAGGAGCGGGATGGACTTACTGGCTGGGAAAGATAATTCTACCGAGAATGAGTGAGCAAGAGTTGAGGGCCTAGGGACAGAATCCCTTCTTGATATCTGTGGCGTAAGGAGAGGAGTGGCTGTTTCAGTGGGGAGGCTGTGTATTTCCCGGCTAAGGTAGGAAGACCTTATGGTTTGTCCCTGAGTTGTATCAGCCTCTCCAGGCAACATGTACTCTCCCGTTTTCATTCAATGCAGACATCTGTAAGCTTACATTAGCTCTAATTGGCTCCTCATGTGTACTCACTTCTGCTGGCCTCGCTATGGCCACGGGCTGTCCCCTTCACGCCACCAGGCTCAAAACATGCAGAGCAAAGCTCTTCAGACCACCCCGTTAAACCTCCGGTCTCCTGGTCAGTTCTACACCACAGCTCTCCACACGTGCACCGCTAACTTTCGCAGACACGCCTTTACACACGGAAGACGGCTATCCTGTCCTCTTTCCAACGTCTATACGCTCAGAACTTTTTGGAGCGAGAGTAAAATATTTCATAAGGCGTGAGTATCGTGGTTATTAACTCGGCAAGTTTCTTATTTACACCTTCAGCTGTTTTTTTTTTTTTTTTCCTCCCTTGAGAAGTCTTTTTACAAAATGCAAACCCTTATGGCCCAGTGGGGCGTCGCTGTGATGCCTGTCAGACGTCAGAGCGGATCGGCTCCTCTGCCAGACTCCGGGATGAGCAACCCGGTGTCCGCAAAGTCGGCGGAGACCCAGCCTTTTTGCAGTTTCCCATAAGCCTTTTCGACTGTCAATCAGAGGCGTGTTGCTTCATGGCGCATGCGCGCCGCCAGCATCCGGCAGCCGTGCGGAGCCGCCGCCGGGCTCTCCCCGGCGTGGTTCGTCCTAGTTATGGCTCCGGACTCGGGGCCCTGCCCTGACGGACAACTCTTGAAGCTGCTGCCGGTGGATCCCCGGGACCGGGGCACCCAGCGCTGCCGCTTGGGCCCGGCCGCCCTCCGCAGCCTGGGCGTGCGCCTGGGCTCGCCGCTGCGGATCTCGTTGGCGGACGGCGGCTACTGCCTGTGCACGGCGTGGCCGCGGCGCGACGGGGCGGACGGCTTTGTGCAGCTGGACCCGCAGTGCGCGAGCCCCGGGGCCGCGGCGGCGGGGGCGGCGGGGAGGCTCAGTCTGGACCGCCTGCAGCCGGTGCCGTGTCCTCCCCTGCGGCGCCTGGCGGTGTGGCCGGAGCTGCGGCCGCAGGCGGGAGCCCCGAGCCCCGCCGCGGTGCTGGAGGTAGCGCACGAGCTGCTGCGCCACCGGCCGGTGTCGCGGGGACACGTGCTGGCCACCGCGCCGGGCGTCCCGGGCCCGGTGGCGGCGCTGCACGTGGTGGGCGGGACGCCGGACCCGGAGCCGGCCGGCTGGGTCACGCCGCACACCCGCATCACGCTGGGCGACAAGCCGCCGCCCCAGGTCGAGCCCCCCGGGGAGGTGACCCTCGGGGGGCTGTCGGAGACGGCCGACTCCCTGCGGGAGCTGCTCCTCCTGCCGCTGCGCTACCCGCTCGCCCTAAGCGCGCTGGGGCTGGCGGTGCCCCGCGGGGTGCTCCTGGCAGGACCCCCGGGGGTGGGCAAGACCCAGCTGGTGCGAGCCGTGGCGCGCGAGGCGGGCGCCGAGCTGCTGGCGGTGAGCGCCCCGGCGCTGCAGGGCTCCCGGCCGGGGGAGACCGAGGAGAACGTTCGGCGCGTCTTCCAGCGCGCCCGGGAGCTGGCCAGCCGCGGCCCCAGCCTCCTCTTTCTGGACGAAGTGGACGCCCTCTGCCCCCGGAGGGCCACCTCCCAGCGGGCTCCCGAGGGCCGCGTGGTGGCCCAGGTGTTGACGCTGCTGGACGGCATCCACGGAGACCGAGAGGTGGTGGTTGTGGGAGCCACCAACCGGCCGGACGAGTTAGACCCAGCGCTGCGCAGGCCGGGAAGGTTTGACCGAGAGGTAAATGGCCAGAGCAGGCTAGAAACACCCCACCTCCCCCCCCCCCCCCCCCGTTCCTGGAAGCTCCCTTTTTTGGACAGCTGGGTCAGGCAGGATTTGTAGCTCTCACTATTCCAGAGTCAAATTATCTGGGAAGCGGGATCGTTCTTAGGTTTGTGGAGGTAACTAAGCCTGTTGAAATAGCCTTTGGAATCAGTAAGAATCAGTAAGAGAAGAATCAAGAGAGGCAAATGAAAAACAGGCACTAGCCCCTAAACATGTATTCATTCCTTGACAAGATCCCAGCTTCCTGTTCTACAGGTGACTTCCCGAGTTGTCAAGAAAGTTGAGTATTCAGTGCCGCCTTGTCTTAGGAACTTTGGTACGCAAGTGATTTTTTTTTCCCCCTTAATTTCTAAGGAATAGTTGGTAATTACATAATATTTAACATTTGGGGTAGGGGTCTGCATAAAAATAGCAGTTGCATGCTTTCTGCTTGACTCTTTCGAGGACTTGAGTGGATTTCTCTCTTGCACCATGTGTTAAAAAGCTGGCAGTTTTTCCAAAGAGCAGGAACCTAGATTCTCTGGCCTGTTGATCCCTGACTTGGTCTGTTCTCAAAAAAACAGCAGAGACCTTTTCAGTGAAATATAGTTTCATTGTGGAGCAACTGTTGCCCCATTGGACAGTTGGCACCTTCTTATATTCAGAATCTAAAAGAGTTAAAAGTTCGTGAGACAAGTTCCTGAATGGTTTGCCGAGTCGCTGTACTTATCTGTGAGGATGCTTTGAAGGAAAGATTTCAAGCCGGATGCTGTTAACTTTCCTACTTTTTGCCTTGCCCGTAGGTCATCATCGGGGCTCCCACACTTAAACAGAGAGAGGCCATTCTGCGAGCGATTACTTCAAAGATGCCCATCGCCAGTCATACTGATATGGGTCTCCTGGCAGAGATGACCGTTGGCTATGTCGGTGCTGACCTCACAGCCCTTTGTAGGGAGGCTGCCATGTGTGCACTTCTCAGGAATGAGAAGGTAGGAGGTGCTGGCCTGTGACCAGCCATGTTAATCTTCCTGTTAGTATGGCAGGTTGATTTGGGGGTTTAAAAAAGTGCTAAGAACATTCATCCCTCGGCATGGTTGGTAGCCCCACAGCCATTTCCGTGTGTGTGTGTGTGTGTGTGTGTCTGTGTGTTTCTGAAACGTTTGCGAATACTCCATAGCCACGATACCACAGCAAGAATTTTAGTCACTGATGATGATTAACTTCACCAAAGTTAGCTTTGATTTCTAGAATACGATGGTATCTATAAGATTTTTTCATTGTCAAGATACTATTTTTTTATTATTATTGATAAATATATATGGGAGAAATAAACTTTCATAATCCAAGAAAAATTGGGTACTTGGAATTTTATTAAAGATTGTCGTTGATTTTCAAATCTTATATCCACAATTACTTTAATAATATTTAGGATTATCTCAAATGTAATATTTTACAATAATACAAATTTGAAAACCAAGTCATTAAGTATATGATAACCCAAGTCTCTAAATCTCTTCAGCAAATAATGATTTCAGCAGCTGAGGATTCTGGGACATTTCCACTTCATAGCATCCTAAATTGTTTTTATCTAAATAATTTATATCTTTTCTAACCTTAGCGTTCTTTTCATTGTAATGCTGAAGGTGAGAAGAAGGTATATGAACTTCTGAGTACGCATTTTAATGGATTTGATACCAAGGGGCTTAGAGTTTTAATGAGCTTGTTTGTGTAAAGGTGGGAGAATAGATGGGGAAAGCTTGAGCATTCCAGAGTGTCCCTGGGAAGTGAGGCACATTCAGAATTCCTTCTGCTTTGAAGTCCCAGGCTTGATCTGAAGCATCTCTGGCTTAGGTAGAGCAGCCATCTCTCTGCCACATGAGGAGGGCCCTACCTAAGTTTAGAAACAACCCAGGGGAAGTAGAAGAAAGGAGGGACAGAGATGTCTGGGAAGGTACTGACTCTTCTTGCTTTTTTTCCTCCCACAAGACAGATGAGGGGCTCTGTCTGTTCCAGGGCAGACAACCACTGAAGTTTTTCTGAAGTAGCTTGAGTGAAGAATTAGAAACATAGCTTAATAAATACAAAAGAGAAAGGATTTAATGACTGCAGGGGTGTTGAGAGGGAAATGAGTATACGCGTGTAGATTTTTCAAATGCTGGCTGATATTATCTAAAAATTAATTAGTGTTTGGGTACCTAGGATCTAATATTGTAAGCCAGTAAAGCAAAGAAACAAAACAAAGAATTATGGTTATGTGCCTATAAGTGTTTCTGTCAACAGTAGAACCCAGTAAGCAGGTAATATTTTGTCAGAATGTGTCCCCAGCAAACAAATGACTGTCACTAAGTAGGACAGGAAAGCATGAAGAAAGTGAACTTGGCCCAAAACATCATGTTAGGGATTACTGTTGTTAATATCTTTCAGTAATACCATTCACACTAGGCCTGTCGTAAGTATCCGCTTTCATGGTCTTATATAAATGCATAAAATAGTTGAATATGAGAATTTGTAGAGAGCCCAATGCTTTGAATTTGATATGACGGCAAATTATTCAACAACAATACAGGTAAACTGGAAATGAGCATAAGGAACTTTTAAAATTGTGCTTCACTGGAATGATTAAGAAAGTCATAAAATAGTGTAAACACCTAATGTTAGGGGGAGATGGGCTTTGAGTATAGCAAAGAGAGCCAGTGAGGACATTAAGCATTGATTTGAGCATTGGAGATGGGCAAAAAAGCAAACCTAAGACCAGGAGAAAGGCTTTAAGCCCATTTCCCTCCTATGGAAAGAACTTTTAAAGACAGCAGTGCGAGAGAAAAGATACGGACAGTAAACAGTAAAACACCAGGAAACATACGTTCTTGGTTTCTTTAAAAGTCATTTCCTTTTAAGGTTTTTAAAAATATATATATTTTTTTATTTTAAAGTAATTTAAAATTTATTGGAAAGTTGCAAAATAGTTACAGAAAATTTCAACCAAACCCTCTTACCCAAAGTAATAATTTTTGACATTTTGCTAAGTTAGCGTTATCATATTTTCTCTTGTCAACTGTGTGTGTGCATGTATAATTAACACAGTGTTGCATAGCATTTCTTTCTGTCACATCGAAAACTTAAAAGTTCGTTAGAGTCCAGGGGGGAGAAGAGCTTCCTGTTACTGAAGGGGAAGGACTGGGAATGGCTTCCTTAGGGGACAATCTGTTGACAGCTGTGACTGTCGGAATTTAAAACTGAACTCGTAAGCTCAGTGCTTCTGCTTTGAGGATGTGATTGGCTAAGATGCTTGAACATGAGAGTAGTGATGATTGGATTTGTAAGTTCAAAAGAAGATTTTTTTTTTTTAAGTGTTTGTTGTGCATGTATCCGATAGAAAAGGCCTACCTAATTTTTGGCTCTGTTTTTCTTTTTGGATTATATTTCTTCAGAACCAAAACAGCCCCAAGATTGAGGAAACAGACTTTCTTGAGGCTTTTAAAAAGATTCAGCCCTCATCATTTCGAAGTTCCATTGGACGGATGGACGTCAAGCCTGTTGGCTGGGAACAGATAGGTGGACTTGAAGATGTAAAGCTGAAGTTAAAGCAGGTAACAGTTATGGATCAGCTTACCCCTGCAGAATCGCAGAGTGGCATTCTGCGTCTATAATGAAAATGCTGCTATCAAATTCTGACTCTCGTCCTACCAAATTCCTGGTCATGTGGTTTAGTCTTTATTTAGCGAGTCTTCTGTAGACATCAAAACTAGTTTTCGTTTTTCCCCCATCTTAATCCTCTTTTAAATTTTTTGCTTTGAAGACTCTATTATAGTATAGCACAGAGAGCAGCAGAATTCCTGTGATGAGCTGGATAGTAAATGCTTTAATTTTTGAGACATGCAGGTTGTCACAGCTATTTATTTGCCACCATAGTTCGAGAGACAGTAAATGAGAACATTTGGCCTTTGTTGTCCGTGGTTGAATCTGTAGACTCAACCAGCTGCACAAAATACTGTCTGCACTGACATTTTTTGTTGTTGTTGTTATTTTCCCCTAAACAATGCAGTGTGCCAACTGTGTACATGTCATCTACATAATTTAGGTATTATAAACGATAAAGATAATTTACAACAGACATATAGGTTATATGTAGACACTATGCTATCCCCCCACAGTGCTGGGGTTTGAAGCTATGGGGAGCCTTTGTCAAATGCGGGGTCACTAATGCCAGGTGTAGGGCGCACGCCTTTAATCCCAGTATTTGGGGGGCACAGGCGGTGGATCTCTGAGTTCCCCGGCAGCCAGGGCCACAGAGTGAGATCCTGTTTTGAAAAAATGAAACAAAACAAAACAAAAAATGGAGTGCAGCTAATGGGCTCCGCCGAATTCCCTGTCTCGGGAGTGCAGTCAGCCAACGGTTCCCTGTGAGAAGTGCGGCAGCAGAACTTTGTGGGATACCGTTCCTTATGTTTGGGTGGCCAGGCTGCCCTTGCCATCTTCCTTGACTGATCCCCCTGCCTTCAGTTTCCTTCCAGGGCATTCCACGAATTTTTGCATGGTCAGGTAGAACTTTGAGGGCTATTGTGGTCTGTCTCCATTTCACCCCCAATGCTTCCGCTCGCTATTTCATGCATCTCTTTGTAGCATCCTTTCTCCTCAGAGTGCCTGTTCCCGCCTGGCTGTTAGCATGAAAGTCTCTCTCCTCCAGAACAGAGCTCCCCACCTTACACTGGTTTCTTTCTTTCCTGAGGCCCGTGTTGGTCCTGCCACCTCTCCAGCAGTAAGGTGGACAGGTCCGAGTCTAACTTTTCTAGGCCTGAGCTTCTGAGTCTATAAAACCATGGTGAAGCCGTCTAGCCTAGAGGTGGTCAGGACTTCCTCACTGTTCAGTGACTTCTGCTGAGCGCCTGCCTTAGGCAGGTGTTATTCTGGGTATTGAGAGTTTAGGCATGAACGCTGCTGAGTGTCCCACCAGCGTGGAAGAGGAACAGTGATGAACCGTCAATGAACTAAGTAAGGCTGAGGTCAGTGCCAGCTGCGGCTGGCAGAAAGGCCTCTACCCTGTGCGGGGGTGTCCTTAGGGCAGGCGCATTTGAGCTGAGGCTGGAGAGGTAAGATAGCCACATGGGGCGGGAGACATGGCTCAGCAGTTAAGAGCTCTTGTTGCTCTTGCAGAGGACCGGGTTCAGTTCTCCGCACCCAGATGGCGGCTCACAGGCATCCATAACTCCAGTTCTAAGGGATCCAGTGACTTCTGACCTGTGCAGGGACTAGGCATGTACATGGTACTCGTACATACATGCAGGCAAAGCACCCAAACAGAAAAATTGAAAGATAATTAAAATTTTTAAAAGAATAGCCACAGAGAGATGTTGGGAGAGTGACCAGGCCCAGCATGGTTACACAAGTGAAAGCGCATGAAGCAAGTGAGTGGGAGCAGGGTTGCCGGGCTGTGGTGAGGACCCGAGGCACCACCGAGGCTATTTCAGCTCAGCAGGCTCTGGGCGGTGCCAGGTGAGGGAGGCGTGCCTCGCACGCTGACGCCTCTCTGTCTCTCTGCTTGCTTACAGTGTGTTGAGTGGCCCCTGAAGTTCCCTCAGGAGTTCATTAGGATGGGTCTGACACAGCCAAAGGGCCTTCTCCTCTACGGTCCTCCTGGGTGTGCTAAAACCACCCTGGTGAGGGCCCTGGCCACCAGCTGCCACTGTTCCTTCGTGTCAGTGAGCGGAGCTGACCTCTTTTCACCGTTTGTTGGAGATTCAGAGAAAGTCTTGTCTCAGGTCTGTTTATTTTTAAGTATTCTCTTTTCCTGTCGTGAAAATCATACATATTTACGTTTAAAACAAGAACTCTCTTCCCCCGTAATCCTTCCACCTGCTGCTACTGTTTGGTAAATTTCCTCTCTCTGATTTTGAGTAAGGCAGAAGTGAGGTTTTTATCAGTCTGCGATAATATCTTTATTTTTTCTCGTTCATTTTTACTGATCACGTATGTGTGTGTTTGTGTAGAGTGTATGCGCCTGCGTGCTGGTGCTCACGTAGACCAGAAGAGGGTACTGGGTTCCCTAGAGTTGGAGTTGCAGGAGATTAAGGGTCCCCCAGGGTGGGTACTAGGACCTGAACTCAGGGCCTCTGTAAGAGCAGTTAAGCACGCTTAACCTCTGAGCCGTCTCTCCAGCCTTTTTTATCTTGGTTTTTAAAGCTAAACATTGTCACAAGATGGGTGTGGTGGCATATGCCTTTAATTCTATGCTCAGGAGACAGGGACAGGCAGATCTCTGAGTTTCAGGCCAGCCTGGGCTACATGATGAAATCCTGCCTTACAAGAAAACAGTTAGCATTGTCGCTTCTGAAACACCATGCTTGTTAAATATCTTTTGAGAAGACCATCTTTTAAACGACTGTCTATCTTTGGCCCTTGTTTTATTTATTTATTCCCCAGTTCCTAAGCACTTAGAATCTTCGCTTCTCTGTTTTAACGATTAAAAATAGCAAAGTGAAAATAGTCACCGGAGCGGCGTGTGACGTTATGTTTTTCTTCCCTCACTAAGGTATTTCGACAAGCAAGAGCCAATACTCCAGCGCTTGTGTTTTTGGATGAAATTGACTCAGTGTTGGGGTCTCGCTCAGTCGGCACCTTGGGATGTGATGCTCGGGAGCGGGTTCTCTCAGCTCTGCTGAATGAACTCGATGGTGTGGGAGTTAGGACGGTAGAGAGAAGAGGGAGTAAATCAAACCAACAGGGTAAATACCAGGCGCTGGGACCACGGAGCCCTGCTTGCTGGCCAGGGTGCCCCAGAACCGCTGGCCAGGGTTAAAAAGCATTTCTGCACGTCTGCTTCTCCTGGGCTGGATTCATATTACAGAGGGATTTATATGATTCCATTTGAATTCTTGGGACTTTTACAGGACTAATAAAAATTATGAATTTGGGCAGAAAAGGGAAAAGTTCTCTAATTATCTTAGATGTGAATTTTGTTTTTCCTAAGAATGAGAAATATATTTTACTTAGTAGAGAATTTATTCTCGTGTGTATGTTCTGAAGAAGGACTTACCCATCTTCATTTTGTGTGTGTGAGACATTACAGAACAAATTAGCCCTTCGGTCACTTTGGTGGTTGAAAGCAAGTAAAGGGTGGCTTTTGGGGTCACCTGCCTCTGTGAGCCTCTTCTTCAGAGAGGGTGGCTTCTTGTTGTTTTCCTGAGCAGGCCATTTCTGATTTCTTTTTATTATAATCATATTCTCGTTTGTTTTATGTTTTTAAAACCAGAAGGAGCGGTTTAGCCGCTCAGTAGAACGAAAATATGCTACGGTTAGAAGGGAACCACAACAACCTGATCTCAGGATGTAGGGATTCAGTATACAGCAGCCCGTTAGCTTGTGGGGAAGCTTGCTGCTTTGAGGGGTGACCACTGGAGAGCTGCTTGGCTTATTCAACTCAATGACTTTTAGGCCTCTCCCTGTCTGGCTTTTAAATGTTTCCTCCCTTGGGCTGGGGATTGCTCAGTGGCAAAGCAACTGTCTGGCATGCACAAAGCCTGGGTTCTGTCCCGTATAAGCCAGGTGTGCTGGTGTGCCCAGGACTTGGGAGGTGTGAGCAGGGGAGTAGAATTTTAAGGTCAGTTTTGTTGGGTAAAGAGTTTTGGTACAGCTTAGGGTACAGGGGACCCTGCCTCAAACTGGAACAAATGTTGCTTCTCATCCAGGGTCTGCCTAACCACAGGTCAGGTTGATTGTCATTATTTCTGCCTCTGCAAAGAAGACTGAAAAGTAAATTTCCATCTTTGGGGATATTGGAAGCCAGAGTTGGTAAAACAATACCTGTCTCTCATTAGTCATGCATTCTGCCCATGCAAGCAGCCCGTTTGACGCTGTCAGTCAGTGAGCGTTGAGAGTTGAGTGTCTGGGTGGATTTGGGCACGGCCGGGTGTTCTTCCATTGGCCTTTCATCAGTTCTCACATGGAGAAACGCCCAGCAGGACTAGCCTTTCAGACACACAGGGTAGCTTTTTGATTAACGAGTTATCTGTGGGGTGGCCTGATAACCAAGACGGTGGCTGGGATGGGGCACAAGCATCCTGGTTCCAAGGGAAGGTTGTCCCTGTTCAGGCACAGCACTTTCCCATGCGTGACTTAACTTGATTTTTAATAAGCAGTGGTTTGTTGACAGTACCTTGTGCCACCTGCTTTCCCTCAGAGTGTCAAGAAATTCTCAATCGAAGCGTCATGATTGTTGTGGCAACAAATAGGCCGGAGGTGCTGGATGATGCCCTGCTACGACCTGGAAGATTAGACGCCATGATTTATGTGCCCCCTCCCGATCAACAGGTAAACCCCGCGTGTTTCCTCGGCACCCAGGCAACCGGCAAATGGCGAAGGACTCTCACAATTAATTTTTTCTTCCTTTTTTTTAAATCATGTTTTAAAGAGGTTTTTTTTTTTTTTTTTAAAGTAAATGTCTGTTTCTAAATGTATCAGATAGTTCATGCATTTGTTTCTAAAACTTTTCATAGCACTCTCTGTTCCCAAAAGAATCATCTTGTCTCATAAGGAGAAATGGTTATGATCGGCTACTCCAAAATTTATTAGGAAAAAACTTGTTTTTTATGACACTGGTTTTATCATTGCTGTGTGGATCATGGATGACTCAGTCTCTTTCAGAAGCAAGAGTGATTTTAATTGTTTGAATATTAATATACCACACACACACACACTATCCACACACCACACACAAATACACACACCACAAATACACATAGAGCACACATACACAAACACACACCAATATATACCACGTGCCACACACACCACACACACTTTGTAATAATGATAAGAAAACTGGAACTTAAGGTGCTTATCGTGTCCGCGTTGAACATAAATGTGAAGATGATAAACATTTTGGTTTTGCTTTTGTTCCAGGGTAGGCTTTCTATTTTAAAAGTCTGTACAAACAACATGCCTGTAGGACCTGATGTTTCACTGGAAAACCTAGCAGCAGAAACCTGTTTTTTCTCTGGAGCTGACCTTAGAAACCTCTGCAAAGAAGTGAGTGTGCACTGCTGTATTCTGAGTCTGTGCAGGTCTTTCTTTTTCTGTAAGCTTCACTGAATGTAACGTTGAGAAGAAGGCGTTGATCTTAGGGGTATAATATTGATGGACTGTGAAGTGGCCACACTTTTAGAACCACCACTTGTGCCAGGAAGAGATTGTTGGCATCCCCGAATCTTCCTTGGACCCCTCCTACTCCCTGACCCTGCTGCCCCTCAAAGGTAGCCACTCTGCCCACTGGAGATGAGTTTTGCAGCTTTTGAGCTCTGAGTGTCTGCATTCTGCCATGAACAGTTTGCCTGTCGTAAATAGTGTGGAGTTGCTTCTTCCATATATGTACATGGCCACAAGGAGAATTGCTGGGTCATAAAACATGTCTTTTTTTTTTTTTTTTTTTTTTTTCTTTTATGAACAGTGCTGTGTATATTTTTCTACCTTGGGGTCAAGATTCCTCTCATCTTAAACTGTATGTGGACTCCAAATGTGTATGTTATTCTGAAGTTTACCCATTTAAGGCCAGGTTTTTAAGATACAAGAAGTTATGATCTGTGGTGGATTTTTGGTCACCTTCACTTAGTGTTTCTGATGGCACTGAACTCCTTTGATGTGAGACTGGGGATTTGTCACCAGACCGTAGTGTTGACATGTCATTACTGGTAGTTTTAATATGAAGCAGATTAACTGTTCCCTGCTGCTTGTCCCCTGCAGGCTGCCTTGTTGGCTCTGCAAGAAAACGGACTGGAAGCCACCACAGTGAAACGGGAGCACTTCGTGCGGTCACTCAAGGCCGTGAAGCCATCCTTAAGTGTGAAGGACCTGACTTTCTATGAAAACTTATTTAAGAAACGACTTCCCAACTTGGAAAATCATTAAATTTTTATTTTAATCAGTTTTTTACATGAATTGGGATGTGAACCTGACTGTGGTTGCAACTTCATACTTTCATGAGATGGAGGGAGGGAGGAAGAGAAGAAGGGAGAGAGAGACAGAGAGACTGATAAACTTGGCCTGATAAGGACCATCTTACTTCTAAACACCATAATGAAAAGCGTGGCTGTGACTTTGTTAGGTAATTACTTTTGGTTGATCGCTTTTTGTGACTTTGAAGTCTGTCACGATGGCAGAAAAGTTGCAGGATAGAAGAGGGGACTTCGGCTTTCCCTGGCCCAGATTCTCCACTCTAGCATTTTGTCTCATTTGTTTCCCCCCTCCCTGCATGCGGTTGCTCACACACACATTGTTTTCTGAACTGTTTGAGACTAGAATGCAGTCATGCATTCACCGCTCAGTGTTGGATACGACACTGAGAAGTGTGACATTAGCTCTGTTGTGGATGTCATCACGTATTAGTGTTGTTTTTCCAGCAAGACAGTGACAGCACTACCAGGTAAGAAAATCTTGGGAGTTCACTGTCATACATGCCTCTCAAACAGCATATGGTGCGTGGTTGTCTGTACTCAGTGCTCCGGTATAGCTAGGGTTGAGTGTGCGTGCTCACAAATAACATTGCCTTGGTTCGACAAGTCGCTCACAAGCTCGGGAAGTTTAGCATCGTCAACAGTATTTTAATGTATTCAGTGGATTTCTCTTTGTCCCAGTTATGTCCTGTGTGGGCATCTTTTTCTGTCAGGTGATCTACACATTGAGTTTAGTTGTCAACATGTTTTAACTTGGGAACAGTTGTCAGTGTTTCTTGGCCTCAATATCTTTGAAAAACAGACCAGTTTTTGTTTTGTTTTGTTTTGTTTTGTTTTGTAGAACGGTCAGCCCCAGGGTTTGTGTTTGTCAATGTGGGTGGCTCCATTCTCCGTATCTCGGGCTGGAGGCGTGGGCTCTCCGCATTGTTGGTGATGCTCATTCTTTTCATTCCGTATTGTTTGGTTTCTTTGTTGTACCCTTATCTTTTCCCTTTTGTAAGTATAAGTAACTTGAGGCAATAGATTTGTCTGTGTTTGTATTTTTATAGAAGCAATTAAGAATTAAAAAAACCTGTTTGGTATTGAACCTTCCAGTCCTTGATTTCTTTTAACCCCAAAATAGTAATAGTAGCGCAGACGCTGTTGACTGTAGCAGTGTACGGCCATCCCTCACTCAGGGCAGCGTCTACGTGCCTGCCACCGAAATGCCCGGGAGATGGCAGGGTCTGACCCGGTTTCCATAATCAAAAGACCGCTCTGGACAGCTTCCAAGACCATATTTTTAATTTTCAGTTATGTTTTATGGTGTACTAAACTGGTTGTCATGACATTCCCACACACATGTGCCCTGTTCATATTGCCTTCTTCCACCCCTTCTTTCTCAATGGTCAAACAGACCCCATTCCCGTTTCATGCCAGAACCTTTGTGAAAAACAAATACTTGGCCTGCAAAGACATGGGTGAGTTGGCAGTGTGTATTTCCCCCCTGTGCTGAGCTCAGACTGCTCTCCAGCCTTAGTAGTTGATCCGAGCATATAGAATGCCTGGGAGTCCCATTGTCAAACCTGGTAAAGCAGCCACTGAAGGATGAGATCACAGGTTCAACGTAGCCCACTGCCCAGGTTGGTCAGAAAGAATCTCAAACAGTAATGAGAATGTTCTATTTTTCTCATGAGGCCTGGGCAGGGCTGATGAAGTTTACATGCCGAGGGTGAGAGCCAAACAACCATGGCTTGATGTGCCTGTAAGTCAGGTCACAGTAGCTAGGGAAGGCCCTAAAAGTGTCTGGCATTGAAGTTGGGGAGACAAAGCTTCCCTCAGAGAACTGGCAAGAGTACAGCGATACTGGCTAGTGCCTAGTGGGAGCTCTGACACCCGCTTCTCACCCCAGTCTCCCAGACAGCAGTGGCCTGGTGCCTCACGTGGATGTCAGTACCCAGTGCTTGAGTGAAGGGGACATCTGTGCTCCAGCTAGTGTGACCCTGAGGCTGTGGGGAAGTGTTTATATTCTGAGGAACTAGGTGATGAGAAGCTCTGGATGGTTCAGCCCACAGCAACCTCAGACAGAAGAGCAAATGACATGATAGTTCTTTAGTCATTTTCCTGACTTGTAACTACTGAGCAAATAGTTTACTATTTACATTGCTGCGTTTGCTTTACTAAGTGAGATAGTGAGATTAGCTGTTAAATAAAAACCACCCCAAATTGCTGTAATTCCTTGAATCTAAGGGGTTACTCCTACATCTTCCAGAACTCAGCACACCTGGGAGTTAATGTAAAAGGACAAGGAGTGGCTTTCTAGATCTGTCATTGCTCTAAGTTAAAAAAAAAAAATCGCATTTTACAGGTTATATGAGCACATTCTAAATGTACATATATCTTTTCAATTCATTTAACGTTTTATTCTGAAAGCTTGGGTACAAAAGTAGAATAACAACTCTCACTCTCTGGCACCTATTCTGAGTGATTATCAAGGTAAATTTGCTGGCTGTTGTGACTAGAGCAGTTATGAACATGGTTGACCACGTGTCTCTGGAGGAGAAAAAAGGAGTCCTATGGACATGTGCCCAGATGTGTCCTGAATGGAGGGGACTATGTAGGCTGCCGAGGGACAGGGGTGGGGGTCATGAACGGCCTTACCCATCTGTGAACTACAAGAATGACCAATGGGTGAGGCCAGCCTGGGCTGTGTTGTAGTAAGATCCTGCTCCCCAGCCCCCATAGGTGCAGTAGTGGCTATGGAATTAGCCAATCATTAGAAAACAGATTGGATTTAAGACCCTCTCCACAGAAGGAAACCCACGTCTGATATTGTAACTCTGGCCAAGAGCCTAGAGCTGGGAGGTTCACAGGCCCCAGGGGTGAGCCTACTATGATATCTATTCGAAACAGACATCGCTGCCCGTTAAATCCATCTCTCTCTCTCTACTGGTAGACTAGTGCAACTCCCAGACCTCAGCACCTCAGCGGAGTTTTTCGTGCAGTGGATAACGGCCAGTGCCCAAATCCACAACCAGCTAAAACGCAGACACTAAATTGTCAGTTTGAGTACTCGGCCACAAACGGGCCATCTATGTCATAACACCTGCCCCCAGCGTTCAAAGATCCCCATGTAAGGGGGCGATTATAAGGACCAGGGGCTGCGGGAGGACTGGATCTAAGCGGTGTCTTCTGGACATGACAGGATCACAGCACTCATGAACTCACGGCTGCATGAGTTGGTTGCCTGCAAAGGACCTGAGGATCAAACCAGCCAACAGTTTAGCATGGGAGGGGAGGGAGCCCATGAACCTGGACCCTTGACTGAGAGCCTTGGACAGCTGATGGTACTCCTGGGAGGGAGAATTGGCTTTCTCTAAGATTGTGGCCCTCAGCAGGTGGCCATGCTTCAACGGATGAGCCCACACCCCAGGTCAGAGGGGAAGCACACACACAAAACTAGTTAATTGGGAGGGTAAGGAGGTAGGAGTGGATCTCGGAGGAGTTGGAGGAGGAGGTGGAGGGGAATATGACCGACATACCTTAAATGGGATTCTCAAAGAATTAGTAAAACAACTTTTTAAAAGATGTTCTCTTTTTTGCTCTCTATAGTTGTGCCCATTTATCATCCCAACACTTCATCAGCTGAATGAAAGAACCTTAAGTTTGAGGCCAGCTATGGTGTAGTAAGATGCTGCTCCCCCAGGCCCCCACATACACTCCAAAAAAAGTTTCATAACTGCAAAAGGGGTTTTGTACTGGAAATTTGACCCCCGTCGCAGGATCATCCAACTTTGCCATAGGCTGTACACATCAGCACGCGCTAGGCTAGGGTTTTCCCACTAAGATACAACTTCAGCCCTTCAGTGTGTTTTTAAGTAAAGAAACAAGCCTTGTTTTGACTTAAAGAGAAGGGTGCCCTAAGAGTTCTGGTGTTAGGAGCCAGGCTTCCTTTCCGACTTCATCTTTACACTCCCTAGCTGTGAGCCTCGAACAGCTCTGTGTCTAAAGAGGGACCATCCCCGCCCCCACCACACCCCTGTCCACCCCATCCAAGGAATCCATCTCAGCGTCTGGTGCACAGCCGCTGGCCTAGCGGAATTGCTTCCAAAGAAACGGAGAGCCAAAGCTGCTGAGTTAGGAGGGACCCAAAGACAGAAGCCAACAGTCGGAGTCTGCAGCAATGGGCACTTGGGATCTTTTGCAGTGGAAGTTTGTTTTGTTTCCCTTAGCTTGGAGCTTTTTTTTTTTTTTTTTTTTTTTTTTTTTTTTTTTTTTTTTTCCAGGACACTGTTGGAGTTCATCTGAGCTTTACAATTTATTTATTTATTTTTTAAATAATCTCCGTGTGTGCGACGTGTCGCGTTTTGGAGCTTTTACGTGGTCGAATTTGTCCAAATTTGCTCTGCCTCTGGCAAGCTCTCCTGGTACTCAGGGTGAAGGGGGCAGCCACGCTGGGGCCCCTGCCCTTCCTCAGCCCTCCCTCCACCCCTCCACTTTAGAAGGGCTGGGCGTCTCTCACCCAGGCCTTGGCCATCACACCGGAACCTGAACCTCCCAGATTTTTGGAGGCACAGGACTGGGTCAGAAGGTGATGGATGGGGACCATGAGAGAGGAGCGCAGGTTAAGGACCGCGGTCAGCGGCCGCGCTGCGCTGTTGTCCTGTAGGGGGCGCCCGTGAGCTGGCTCGGCGCGGTGCGCTGGAACTGGTCCCCGCGTGACCAGAACGCGGCCCTTCGCGAGCGGTTGGCTGCTTATAAGGCCGGCTCGCTGCTGGGCGTTAACATCTCCTGGCCGCCGCCGCCCCAGGTGCGTCTCCTCTCCGGAAAGTTCTGCGGAGCGGGCCCTCGCCGGGCCTTCCGTGACTGGGTACCGGGGTCCAGGGGAAGATGGTTTTGACCGGTATCTTGGATTTTTCCCTCTTCTAGATTTGGAATTCTACGCTAAAGTCATCATGGGCATTTTCCAGACACTGATGAAAAATAAGGAAGTAAGTGTTTTAAAGCAATAAGTACATCTTGACTTCTGAGAGTTGTTTTTGTTTGTTTTCTTTAGAGAGGAGAGGGAAAAGATGGGGAAGACTTTTGAACTTTTATACTATTTTGTTATATTTCAGTTTCCCGTTGAATTTCTCTCTCACTTGTTTTCTCTCAGCTCATTCCTCTGGCGTTTTTCATATCTGCGGCTGCCACTGGAGCCCTCTCTTTTGGTTTATATGCTTTGAAAAAAACCGATGTGGTGTAAGTATTGCCGCCTCCTGTGGCTCTTCTGGGGAGCTTTTCTCCGACCCCCAGATTCTGAAACACATGCTGTCAGTGTCTGGGTTTTTCCCGCGAATAAGAGCATCAAAGTGGGGACTGAAAACAATGCTGGTACCAGAAAGACTGACGGTAGTGTTTTGTTTCTTGTGTCTGAACCTTCTACTCTCCTGCAGTGAAGTCAGATCTGATTTCTTTTTAAATTTAAGCTATGAAATTGAAGTACCACCGCGCAGGATCATTTTAGGTTTCAAGAGTTCAACTTGTTAGAAAGTTCTGTCCCTGAGTGGTGGCGTTGATACATTCAGCTGTCTGCAATAAACTCCAGTCTCAGCTTTAGCTGAAGGAAAATTAAAAAAAGCCTTGTCCAGGGTTAGCGAGCGCAGTGACTCTAACAGTCACTGCTGGTGCCTGGAGCCTGCCCTACCCCGTTCAAGCCTAGCCCTCCGCCCCGCCCCCATCCCTTACCGAACCCCTGATAGCTCTTCCTGATTATCCTTTCACCTCCATTGCTGCCTGTTTGTGGGAGTAGCCTTTTAGTCCTGCCCAACAAAGCAAACAGACCTCTCACCGTGCCCTGTGGAGGAAGGGAGCCTTAAAGAGCGAAACAAACTGCCTTTTCAGTGGCTGCTTCTCTAACTTCAGCTGTTAGCACCAGGTGACTGAAGTTGACAGTTCTGGTGTGGAGACAGAGTCTGTCTCCAGAAAGTTTATAGACCCAGTGTCTTTTCAGGGCCTTCGTTGATGAATTGACCTTCATTTAACTAATCTTCTTTTACTTTTAGACTTGATCGAAATAAAAACCCAGAACCTTGGGAAATGGTGGATCCTACTCAACCCCAAAAGGTA